TTGTAACTCTATACAACCTTCATTGTACTCATAAAGCGTTTGTACAAAAGTATTTCGATTATATCGAGAATTATTGATAACTTTATGAATCAGTTTTCGAGCATAATCAATTTTGTTATATGCAATTAAGTAATGGGAATAAATTGAAATAAAAAAGTTATTCAACAAGTTATCAGATTCATTTTGTCTATTATAAAGTTCTTCACAGGCAGCAAAACTTTCTGCTATACGATCTGTCATTGAGAGCCATAAGCAATCTAATATTTTAGTTTCAATATTAGACAGCAATTTTTGCCTTTTCATTTTCTCGATGACATATTTAGCTTCATCATAACGGCGGTTTAAAATTAAAGCTAATGTATATGCTGTTTGTAAGTGTTGCAAATTTTCAAAAATATGAGCTGGTATTTGATCCAAACAGCGTAATAAAAATCGCACTCTACCTTTTTCTAATAATGCTTGGCCATGTAGAGTCAAAAGTTCGACGCACTTGTCAAACTCTTTTGCAAGCAAATAGTGCTCAATGGCTTCAATAGGTTGATTTAAATAAAGTAGACGTTTTGCAGCACGTAAATGCTGTGATCTAAATTTTTCTGGGTATATACTTTTAAACTGATTACGTAAATAACTTAAGAATAAACTATGGAAACGATATTTTTCACCTTGCTGATCCATAGGGATAAGGAAAAGATTTTTTTGTTCTAACTGTTTGAGTAAATGGGCACTATTATTTGTTTTGAGCAACCAATCACAATCAGCAACAGAAAATTGCGAGTAGACACTACAATTCAATAAAAAATCCTGAAGATTATTGGGTAATTGATTTAAGATTTCTTCACTTAAAAAATGATTAAGTTCAGTATGGTTAATTGAAAACTTTTGAATTTGTGTACATAGAGAATGTCTTGAAGTTAAAGTTAAACCAAATTGTTGAATCGCAACAATCCAACCTCCTGTTTTTTTAAGTAACAGGTTAATTTCATTTGGATTGAGCTGAAAGCCATAATCATTTAGAGCAAGCTTATTTATCTCATCTGCATTGAAACTGAGTGCTTCTTGATTAATTTCTAAAATTTGACAACGAATGCGTAATGAGGCAATTTTTAATGGCAGTAACTGTCGAGAACCGATGACAATTTGGCTATGTGAAGGTAAATAATCTATGATCTGCTGTAAAAACTTGAGCGTTGATTCATCATAAATATGTTCTACTTGATCTAAGAATATTGTAAAGGGATTTGAATACTGAGTAATATTTTCAAGAAAATTATTATTAAATGGTTGATTCGTCGTTTTAAACCAAATATATGATAAATGTTGAATAAAACGAGTGAAGTCATTGTCTGCATTATCAAGCGTCATCCAAATGACTTTACGATATTTCTTTTGTTGAAGATAAAGTTGATTTAAAAATGTAGTTTTACCAAATCCAGCAGGAGCTATCACAGAAATCAATTTAACCTTCGTATATTGGTCTAAATGATTAAATATAAGAGTACGTTCAATCTGCGGTTTTATTGATACTGGTGGATTGAGCTTTGTTGTTAAAATATTGTTCATTTTCTCACTCCTTGAAAAAATAAATCTTTAGAAAACTTTAAAGTGAGGCAAAGATCACGTCATTACAGATTGATTGCCTCGAAATAAGTTTTAAAATATTTCCTCAAAATCTTCTTTAGTTGCGCCACAATCTGGACACATCCAATCATCTGAAAATTGATCCAGAGATGTTCCCGGTGCTATTCCATCTTCAGGAATTCCAACTTTTTCATCATAAATAAACGAACAATATCGACATTGCCATTTTTTCATCTTATCTACTCACATCATTTTTCATTTTTGTCTGATCGCTTTTTATTGGTGCAAGACCAAAAGTTTTTATAATCAAAGCATCATTGGCGACATGATGCTCATGTTTTAATTTCCACAGTTTCAGCATACGGTAGAAGGGTGCAGTAGGATAAAGATGATGCATTAAATGATAATTTTGGTAGGTAAGTAATGGAGTAAGTAACCATTCAGCACCAGGGCGTACATTCGTTGCTCGATACTCATTTTCTTTCGCTGTGCTTTGAAATGGCTCATGTGGCAAGAATACAAATGCAGTCACAAATAAGAATGAACTAATCCTTGTTGGTAAAATCCATAACATAAGCGCTTCAAGACCATATCCAAAATAAATTAGAGCTGCTAAAACGCCAATTATTGAAGCGAAATGAACCACTAAGTGAGGTAATAAACGTTTACGCATTGCCTGACTAGCGCGCAAAAAGAAATACTTGGAATAAAAGTAGTCAAAATTGCTCCAACGTAATGGAAAGAAAATATCCATCTTATGTCCAAAATAATCTGGATCATTTTCTTTTTCATTGGTACAGCGATGGTGCTGCATATGGATAAAACGTGCTAGATTGAATGGCGCGATAGGACCAAAGAAAATCATGCCTATCTGGCCTGGAATTTCATTGATCCATTTTATTCGCGAAAATGCACCATGAGATGCATCATGTATTGGGCTAAATAAAAAATAGATTGTAAATCCATTAATGATCATGCCAATCCATAGTGGAACCATCCCAAGGATTACACAGTAATCGACAATTGCCAGAATGCTTAGACAGATGATAAACAAGAATAAAGTTGGTAAAGCAATCAAAGGGGCTTTAGTTAACTCGCGTAATGCGTGATCGGATGGAGTAGATTTATTGATCGTTCTCATTGTCATTTCCTTGGTTTTCACCCTGATGTAATTTGCTATCTTTATCAAGATGACAAAAAAATAGAAAAAATAAACCTGAGAAAAAGGTTGGTTTTTGCCTTTACGTTTTTCGATTCGTTATTTCTACTTGGCTGATGGCTAAAATATATGCCTGATCAAACTCTAAATTAGTTCTTTGTGATGAATAAATGAGAGCCACCTTTTGATAGCTTATTTTTGGTTGTTTTTTAATTCAGGTATTAAAAAATAATAAATTTTCTGAAACTCATATGAGTTTAGCTTCTGGCTTGAAAATAAGGCCATAAATAAAAGGATACTTTTATGAATAAAATTTTAATTTTAGCAGCAAGTGCTTTTCTAGCTTCAACTTCCTGGGCAAATGATTCGATTCAAGGCACAAAATGGAAGACCATTGATGATAAAACTGGCAAGCCCAAATTTCTTATAGAAATTAAAAAAGTAAAAGATAATACCTATAATGGCAGTATCATAGATGTATTTGATGTAGAAAATAAATTGACCTGTAAAACTTGTAACGGTAGGTTAAGGGGAAAACGCCTACAGGGTACGACCGTAATTAATAATTTAAAATTAGTAGAAAATGGAAAATTTAAAGATGGAAAAATTTTAGACCCAGATTCTGGTCGTACTTATAGTCTAGAAGGTGAGTTGGTTGAAAACGGAAAAAAACTGAAGCTTCGAGGTTATTTAGGAATTTCAGCACTGGGTAGAAGCCAAATTTGGTTAAGGGTTAATTAGAGCCTGTAAATAAAAATTCTTTTGCACTGATTCTCGGTATTGCATATTTAGTTCAATACCTAGAATTAAACTTTTTCGATAATCGTAATCTGGATACAATCTTTTTTATCATATTGAATTTGCATACCATATCTCGCCTGAGTGGTTATTAATGCATGGCATAGCGTCGTCATCATACGGGTACTTATAGATCCACATGACTCTCCAAGGGCTAATGTTCCACCATGAATATTTAATCTGTCTGGGTCAGCCCCTAGAACACTCAACCAAGCGAGAGGTAGGGGTGTAAAAACCTCATTCATTTCATAGAGATCAATTTGATTAATGGTCAATCCTGTTTTTTCTAGTGCATTTTGTGTGGCAAAAAATATATTTGCATCAATGTCCTTGTGGTTGGACTGCAAGCTATTCATATACAAAATTCGTGCGATTGGTGGCGTTTTCAATAATTTTAAACCTCGATCATTACCAATGATTAATCCAGATGCACCATATGTATTGGAACTGATATGTTTAGATGTCATCGGGAGATCAGGTAAAATAGTCGGAGATTTAGTAAAAATTGACCAAGAAATATATTCAATTATAGATTCATCCTGGATACGCATAGGGGATGCAGAGGAATTTTCAAAGTTGTGTAGCATTGGAATGATTTCAGCTTCGAATTTATTTGCTTGCCAGGCACTGAGTGCCTTAAAGTGGATATTAAAACTATAATAATCAAGCAAATCTCGATTTAATCGATATTTTTTCAATAATTCCATAGCATAGCTTAATTGCTTCACTGAAAGCATATGAGCGTTTTGATTTAAAGCAGTATCCTTTAAAAAAAATCTAGATTTGTTTGCATCATTGGGCATCCACATTTGCTGATCACGGCTGAGATGATTTTCGACTCCTGAAGCAATAACAATATCGTGTGTTTCAGACATTACAATTTGCGCAGCATAGTGTAAGGTTTGCTGTGCAGTATTATGTTGATATTCAAGCCTATTTACCAGTTGTTGTGGGGATAGTATCGAGTGTGCTAAAGCGTCATTTGTCATTTTTTTGATATTTGCATTTGGATGATTTACGAAACCGATTAAAACACGTTCAATAAATTCAGGATCACATTTAGTTTTTAGATTCAATGAATTAAAAACAAAAGATAATAATTCACTTGGATTAAATGACGAAATTATTCCATGACTTAAGCCGTTAACTGTACGCGTCGCAGCAATAATATAGGCTTGTCCCATCTGAATTCCTTGCTTGCCAAAGTGATCTAGATAGAAAAATTGTATAAATATTTTTTTTAAATACATCGACCATATGGACTAATTATAAGGATTAAGATGATCTCACATCGAATTAAATATCAAAAAACAATTACTTATGATTAATTAAAAAATTTTGATTTTAGATTAGTCCTTTTTGACGATGTACATTCTTTTTTAATCATCCATAGTAAAAAGTAAGGAATATTAGCACTTTCATTAAGGTTTTATGTCGGGCGAATTTATTTGAAAGGAATACAAGAATGAATGCTGAAACTTTGCACTTTTCAGAGTCTGAAAAAAATGTTTCAAATGATGAATTATTACGTGTCTTTAAGATACAACAGCCAACTGCTTTAAGATTACGTAATTCAACTGTTGGTCAAAGAATTGCTAAATTAAAAAAATTGCGTAAAAGCATAGAAAATAATAAAGCCCACATTATTGCTGCTGGTGCTGCTGATTTTAATAAACCAGCCATGGAGTTAGAGATTACTGAAATTTTATCAGTCCTAATGGAGCTTGAGCATACTTGTAAACATTTAAAAACGTGGCTAAAACCCAAAAAAATTAAAACAACGATGATGATGTTGGGCACATCATCACAAGTACGTTACGAGCCTAGAGGTCGCTGTCTCATTATTTCTCCTTGGAACTATCCATTGACATTGACCTTAGGGCCGCTTATTCCAGCAATTGCATCTGGAAATACTATCATTATTAAAACGTCTGAATTGACACCAAATTTATCTAAAATTATGGTGAAAATAATTCGTGAAACATTTGAGGAAAACGAAGTTGCTATTTTTGAAGGTGATGCTTCTGTTGCTACAAGTTTATTAACTTTACCTTTCGATCATATTTTCTTTACTGGATCACCTGCTATTGGAAAAGTGGTGATGACCGCAGCGGCTAAAAATTTAACCAGTGTAACTTTGGAGCTTGGCGGTAAGTCGCCCATCATTATCGATGAAACTGCTGATTTGGATATGGCAGTGAAAACGCTTGCTTGGGGTAAATTTTTGAATTGTGGTCAAACCTGTGTAGCACCAGATCATTTATATATTGCTGAAAATATTAAAGATAAATTTATTTCCAAGTTCAATCAACATATTTCAAATATATATGGTGAAGGTGAAAATGTAAAAAATGCCCAGTTGGCACGTATTGTAAATGAACGTCACACAGCCCGTATTGCACATTTGCTCGATGATGCAAAAGAAAAAGGTGCAGAAGTGCTCTATGGTGGGATTGTTATACTAGAAAAATGTTTTATTTCCCCTACATTACTTACAAATATTCCAGCTGATGCTGCAATCATGCAAGAAGAAATTTTTGGACCAATATTACCCATTATTGCGTTTAAAAATATTCAAGAAGTATTAGATCAAATTAATGCTGCTCCAAAGCCATTAGCATTGTACGTCTGGAGTAAAGATAAAGTGCGTATTGAGCATGTGATTCAGAATACGAGTGCTGGAGGAACCTGCATTAACCATACTATGGTGCATTTTCTTCAAAATAATTTGCCTTTTGGAGGCGTAAATAATTCTGGAATTGGTAATTACCATGCTGAGTGGGGGATTAAAGCTTTTTCACATGAACGTGCAATTTTAAAAACGAACATGCTTTTGACTCACATATTCTACCCGCCATATACCAAAAAAACACGATGGGTTCTAGATTTCCTGTTTAAGGTTATATGAAAAAGATCATAGAAAAGGAATTTAATAATGAAAATTATTGCTGCTGTTTCATACGGTCCAAGTCAGCCTTTTAGTATTCAACAACTGGATCTTACTGGACCAAATGATGAAGAAGTATTGGTTAAAATTGTTACTGCTGGAATTTGTCATACAGATCTTGTTGCGCATGCAGGTGTTTTTCCTATTATTTCGCCAGCAGTACTTGGTCATGAAGGGGCAGGAGTTGTAGAGAAAATTGGTAAAAAAGTATCTAAAGTTAAAGTTGGTGATCATGTCACAATGAGTTTTTCCTCATGCGGTGAATGTAATAGTTGTAAGAAAAATCAGCCAGCATATTGTTATTTCTTTACGTCTTTAAATTTTGCAGGCATCCGAAAAGATGGCCCAATCTTGCATGATTCCAAACAAAATCCTATCGGTTGCAGTTTTTTTGGACAATCGTCCTTTGCAAGTCATGCCGTAGCTCACCAACGTAATGTGGTTTCAGTACCTAAAAATATCCCATTAGAGTTAATTGGACCATTAGGTTGTGGTATACAAACTGGTTTTGGTGCAATTACCCGTTCTTTAGCATGTGAACTTGACTCGTCAGTATTGATTATTGGTGGGGGTACGGTTGGTTTAGCCGCAGTAATGGCTGCTGTAATTCAGAAATGTAAACATATTATTTTGATTGAACCTTATGAAGCTAGACGTCGCTTAGCGCTTGAGTTAGGTGCAACAGCAGTGATTAATCCGCACGAGCAAGACATTGAAAGTGAAGTCCATAAGATACTACCAGATGGGGTTAATTATGCATTAGATACCTCAGGAGTAAACATCGTTATGGAGCATGTCTTTAATGTTCTGGCGCCCAAAGCCATTTATGGATTTGTAGGTGTACCGCAAAAGATTGAACAAAAATTACCTGGCACTGTTATGCAAATGGTACCGGCTGGGATCTGCTTTAAGGGAATTATTGAAGGTGATAGCGATCCAGATCGGTCTATTCCTGAATTAATTCGCTATTACGAAAAAGGGCAATTACCCATTGATAAATTGATCAGAACTTACCCATTCGAGCAAATCAACGAGGCCATTGCTGCTAATCATCTTGGGGATTGTATCAAGCCTGTCTTATTAATCAGTCAGTAAGTTAGATATTAATAAAAGGATAAAAGTATGAATGTTGAGAATACAATCCGCTATGCAGGAATATATGCTACAAAAACCCCCAATAAAGCAGCGATCATTATAGCTGAAACTCAACAATCTTTAAGTTATAAGGATTTACATGAATATGCATTAAAATTTGTGAATATTTATGATTCATTCGGCTTGCTATATGGTGATCATGTTGCTTTTTTGACAGAAAATCGAATTGAGTGTCCCGCTTTACAATGTGGTGCTCACTATGCAGGTTTGTATTACACCTTTATTAATACTCGCTTAAAACTCCCTGAAGTGCTTTATATTGTCGAAGACTGTGATGCAAAAATCATTATTTTGAGTGCTCAATATTGTACCCAAGAATTGGTAGATGCGATTCAACAATTAGAAAAAAAACCAATCATATTCGTTTTAGATGATTCAAATGTTTCTGGCATTATTAAACTTGATTCTCTTTTAAAAATGGCATCTATACAAGTAAATCGAACACTACTTGAAGGGAATGAAATGTTATATTCGGCAGGAACGACTGGTCAGCCGAAGGGTATTAAACCTGAATTGACTAGATTGCCTGTAGGTACAACAGAAATTATTGCAAATCAGGTTGAAAAAGCTTTTGCCGTAACGGACCAGACGATCTATTTGTCACCAGCGCCATATTATCATGCAGCACCAGTTAAATGGTGCAGAGCGATATTAACTCTGGGTGGTACAGTGGTGCTAATGGAAAAATTTGAAGCTGAAAAAGCATTAGAAACGATAGAAAAATATAAAATTACCCATAGTCAGTGGGTACCAACAATGTTTCATCGCATTCTGGATTTGCCACTCAGTATTCTTAATCAGTATGACTATTCAAGTTTGAAAGTTGTTATCCATGCAGCTGCACCATGTTCCATTCCAACCAAGCAGAAAATGATTGAATGGTGGGGACCAATTATCTATGAGTATTATGGTAGTACTGAGCAAATTGGCATGACCATGTCAAATACTCAGGATTGGATTGATCATCCTGGTACAGTGGGTCGGGCAATTTATGGAGTTGTCCATATTCTTGATGATGGAGGTGAAGAACTATCAACAGGAAAAATTGGAAATGTATATTTTTCTGACTCTGCAAAATTTTCATATCATAAAGATCCTGCAAAAACTCTAGACGCTTATAACATTAAAGGTTGGGCATGTGTGGGAGATATCGGTTATCTAGACGAAGATAAATTCTTATATTTGACTGATCGTAAAAGTAATATGATTATCTCTGCTGGAGTTAATATTTATCCTCAAGAAACTGAAAACATCTTGATTCAACATAGTGAAGTCATGGATATTGCCGTGATTGGCATCCCACATCCATATTTTGGTGAATCTGTGCATGCGGTGGTTCAATTGTATAATCATCATCGTGCAAGCGATGACTTAATAAAAGAATTGGATAGTTTTTGCCGAAGCCATATTTCTTCCATCAAATGCCCACGCAGTTATGAATTTCGTCAGGATTTACCTCGCGAACCCAACGGAAAGTTGTTGAAGCGTTTATTACGTGATGAATATTATTTGAAATAATTAAACGATGTGAAGGGGGGCTGCTAGATGAGTCAGAAATGTATCATTATTGGGATGAGTCATGCAGGTATCCATCTTGCAACATCATTAAGACAGTATGGGTGGCAAGGTGAAATATTGATGATTGGCAATGAGGATATATTGCCTTATCATCGCCCACCACTTTCAAAGGGATTCCTAAAAAAACAATCTAATATAGCTTTGATTCATCCTGAATCAGATTTTGAGAAATATCAGATTCAATTTCGATTATCTACATCGGTAGACTTTATTCAAATTCATAACAAAAGCATTGTATTGGATTCTGGTGAAGAAATAAATTATGACAAATTAGCTTTGTGTACGGGTGGGAGAGTTCGAAAACTAAATATTCGCGGTTCTACGTTAAAAGGCATACATTATCTGAGAGATATTCGTGATGCTCAAAAACTACGAGAGCATCTTAAATATGTTAAAAAAGTCGTCATTATTGGTGCTGGATTTATCGGATTAGAAATTGCAGCAGTATTAATAGAACAAAGCATTAAAGTGACAGTTCTCGAAGTGAATTCAAGAATTTTGTCAAGAAATCTTGATGAAGTTATGTCGAATTACTTTATTCAACTTCATGCTGAGCATGGTGTTGAAATAAAAACGAATATTGATATTCGGGAAATTCAAGGGAAGCACCATGTAGAAAGTGTGATACCCAATGTAGAATTAGCATTAACTGCAGATCTAGAAGTTGAAAATGGAATTGTCGTAGATAAATTTGCATGTACCTCCAACGTAGATATCGTCGCTGCTGGTGATTGTACTTTGTTTCCTAGCGACCATTTACAACGATCAGTTCGAATGGAGTGCTTAGCAAATGCAGCTGATCAAGCCAAAACGGCAGCAGCTACACTCAGTGGAAATTCAATCCCGCATAGTGCTTTACCATGGTTTTGGTCTGAACAATATGATAAACGTTTACAAATAGCTGGTGTAATAGATCACTATGATCAAGTCATTATTAGGCAGGACTTCACAAATGGTGGATTTTCAAGATTATACTTTGAAGGTAATGTGCTAAAAATGGCAGTCTGTGTAAACTCAGCCAAAGATTTTATTGCATCAAAGCAACTGATTGTACAAAAACCTGCTATAGATTTAAAACTAGTGCAAACGGAGGCTAATTTAAAACAATGTGTGCTTAAAAAATAATCATAATTTCATTGTAAATCAAAAAAAATATACCCTACAATAAAGATATCGGAAGAAATTATCATTATTAAAACAACGATAGAGAATTTTTAAATAATGATAACTTATTTATGGAAGAAAGATAATGCTTTCAACAAATCAAGGAAGGCACAATAGGAATGAAAATATTTATGTTCATTCTTGTTTTTATAAAGTTCTACAATCTATAGAGAATATCCAGCTCAATTTCTTATTTGCACCAGATGGTTATGGTAAGACATCAGTTTTGACCTACTGCTTTGAATATTTCGAGAAAATAAGTGATGATATTTGCTGCATTTGGCTAGATAAGACAAATTTTGACCTAAAGCAAGGAAGCTCTTCTCTGTTGACGGCTTTAAGTCATTTTTTTAATCATCAATTAGAACAAGATTCAACGATTGAAAAAATTTTACAAAGATATACTTCAGGTCAATGTTATATTTTTATTGATGATTATGAAAAAATAGAGTGCACTAGCTTTAATAATGAGATTGATGCTTTATTAGATATCAAAAAAGTTAACTGGCATGTCATCATTGCATCACGTATATTTCCAAAATTTAAAATATCACATTTAGAGTTGAATCAGAAAATTAAAATATTCAATTCATCAAATTTAAGCTTTAATAGCTTCGAAGTTTCCGAATATTTAGATACGAATATTTCAAATAGTCAACTTGAGTTTATTTTTAATAAAACACAAGGATGGCCATATGCCATATCTATTTGTAAGGATTTATTAAATAATAAAGAGAATGTACGAAAGCTATTTGAGCTTTCGGGTGAGGATTATGCATTTTCACAGCTTTTTAAAGAACAAATTTTAGATAATTTGGATTCTGATATGCAAGAATTCCTGGTAGGTTTTTCTACCCTTGAAATGGCGAATGCTGAACTTTGCAACTATGCTTTAAAGTTCACTGATAGTAAATTCAGATTAAAACAGTTGTATCATAGCGGAGCATTTATAGAAAATATAGATCGAAATAATAGAGAATTTAAAGTTCATCCACTCTTACGTGAATTCATACTCAGTCAACAAGTTGATAATAAGTCAAAAAAAATACTTGTTCGAGCATCAATATGGTCAATTAGAAATCAATATTATAAAAAATCTGCTTATTATGCAAAATTAAGTCAAGACCCACATATTCAAAATCTAGTTATTGATAAAACCAGTGAAATTTTAGTTAAGAATTTAGGCGAATTACCTACAGTAATTAATTGGGTCAAGGAGTTAAAAGATGAGAAATATTTTAATTGGAATAAAATAATTTACTGGCTGGCATGGTCACTCGCATTTTCATATCAATGGGAGGAGTCAAAACAAAGAGTAAATGACCTCAGAGTGGCTTTACAAAATGATCAGTATCTAAATGAAATGGATTTTCAGTTTTATTCAGCTAAATTAGATTCGATTGAAATTGTCTTATTAACATTTCAGGATAAACGACAAATAAGTTTAGAAAAATCAAAATCTTGGTTTAAAAAAAATAAAAACACCGATAATTTTGATAAGGCAGTTGTATCTTGTGCAAGTTACTTAAGTTATAGATTGGATGTTGACTATGATTCAGCTCAAAAATCGATCGAATACGCACTACAAGTGATTAGAGATACAGACAGTATATATGGCGAAATTTGGGTTAATCTACTTTACGGCTTATTTATTTTTGATTGTGGTCTATATAATCGTGCACAAAAAATTTTAGAAAGGCAATTTTATAAAACAATTGAAGAAATAGGTGAAGATGCTTCTATTTTACCTACAATTTCACAACTATTATCAGCCATTTACTATGAATTAAATCAAATTTCAAAAGCTCAAGAATATGTTGAAATTGGATATAAAAATATTAAAAATCATGGTTTAGTTGAAACAGCATTCGCTGGAATTTCGACTTCTTATAAACTGCAAAAAAATTGGACTGACACACAAAATTTACGAGAGAACCTTCAAGATATTATCTCAATTTATCCGCAACGGCTAAAGATATTACTCAATTACCTGCAAGTTGAATTGTATTTACTTTCAAATAAAACTGAAAAAGGCGTTAGTTATTTAAATAGCATAGATATTAGCATGGAAGACAGTACTGATCAGTGCTTAGAAGTTAAAATATATCATAAATATATCAATATATTAGTACAATTGAATAAAAACAACCTAAAGTTGGCATGTAATCTTCTTGATG